AGATTCACCCTTAGGAATCACATAAGTCATATTTAATTACAATAGAAATGAATGGTATGGAGGAAAGTACAAGAGCATGCAACAAGAAGACCTAATCTACTTTTAGAGGAATCAGGAAAGGACCTCTGTGATAGTTAAGTTTGTGTGTCAAATTGGCTGGGCCTGGTTGAGTGTCTGGGCATCTGGTGGTAGTTATTCTCCATGATAAGACTGGCAATCAGCTCCATGGTGAGATCTACTACAAGCAGCTGAGTAGCTGCTTCAGGGATGTGGTCTGCTTTCCATATGTTCTGGTTACCTAGTGTCTCTCTGACAGGAATATACCACAAATGGGATGGCTTGAACAAACAGGAGTTTATTCTCTTACAGTTTGGAGGCTTTAAGTCCAAATTCAAAGTGCCAGGCTCTTAGGGCTGGGTGAAAGCCCTTTGACCTTGAGCTTCAGCTCTGCCTCCTGCTCCTGGCCCAATGAAGCTTTTCTTCACTCAAACAGCTACTGGCTACTGAGGCTGCCAAGCCCAAGGTTGACAAGTAAAAAGGCACAGTCCTGATGTTACCAAACCACACAGCAGGCCATTAATTCAAGCCCACTGGAAATACCAAGGTTGGCAGAGCATGGCAGCCTGCTCAACAATGACATAGCTACATGCAGGGTTCAAGTGTGTCATAAGCTAGCTACCATTCCCCAAGCTTCCCCACAAGCTTCTTCTTATATACAGGGAGCAGACCACATTCCAAAAGCAGCTACTCAGCTGCTCACAGTCGATTCCACCATATAGTTGATTACCAGTCTCATCATGGAGAATACTACATCCAGCTGCCCAGCCACTCAACCAGGCCCAGCCAAGTTGACACACAAACTTAACTACCACACCGTATATAAGAAGTAGGTTTGGGACTGGTCTCTATGGGCATAAAGACCATTCAAGCATAAGCACGTTCAAGTCACAGGGTTTGAGGTTATGGGTCCAGGGCACTTGTTTCTTCCCTTCTATTGAACTTACTGAGTTTAAGGAGCATAGAAAAAGCTAGTAGCACTGAGGTGTAGTGAGCAAAGGGACAGTAGCTCAAGATGAGACTAAATAGATGGGGCAAGACATGAAGGACCTATGCTAGGTAAAGGACTTTCAGCTTGATTCCAAGAGTGAAGGGAAACCATCGCAGCAGTTTTGAGAAAGGGAGTGACATGATCAGATCTGCACATTTGAAAGGTCGCTCTGCCTGATGTGAGGCCAGTAGTTTGGCAGAGGGCCAGAAGGGCCAGGGCAATGGTGACATGGATGTGGGTAGTGTAGTAGAGAAGGCAGTGGATGGAACAGAAGCACTTTGAAGGACTGAGTTGGAAGGATGACTCCCAGCGTTCTGCCATTACTGAGTGGAGAAGGAGATCTACCAGGAAGATGAAGAGCTCCATTTGACATTCAGGTTGGAGATTCCTGTAGCATTAGTGATGAGGAAATAGTAATAGCTAACCCAAGCATTGGCCCAGAAACTAATAGTGATAGTAATATCAGCCAAGATATCTCGAGCCAGGCATTGTGCTAAACAAACCCTTTACATAAAGTGCCTCATACAGCAGTCACAACAACCTGTGATGTAAGAACTCTAACCCCTATTGAAGCATAAAATTCAAGGCCTGGCCAACTGGACCCAAATGACTGCAGTCCACCAGTCCAGATTTCCTCCCCCATGGACAATGCTTAGATGGGCACTGCCGACATTTACGGCTTTGAATTTCCTGCAGTATTTCAATAAACTCCAAATTGCTCTTTCCATGCCCCTCCCAAGCCTTCTCTATCCTACTCTTTTCAGCCAACCTTTCTTTCCATTTTTTTCAGTTATTTTTCAGTGTAACACATGCAATGTATATGCAAATTAAATTCTACTAAAAAGCTCTAATCCCTTATGACCACTCTTCTCCAGTGTTGTTATGTGCTGTCGAGCCGGACCCGACTCATAGCAACCCCTCCTTGGGTTTCTGAGGCAGTATCACTACAGAAGTAGATTGCCCCATCTTCCTTCCAAGGAGTGGCTGGTGGGTTGAACCGCCAGCCTTCTGGTTAGCAGTCAAGTGCCTTAGGCACTACGCTACCAGAGCTCCCGTCTTCTCCAGTACCAGAGTGAAATAGGTCCCATTTCTCTACGTAAAATCCTCCATCAACTATAGTTGCTCGCAAAGGCCAAAGTCATTGTTACAGGGCCCAGCCTGCCTTCCAATCTTAACTTACTACCTTGAGTTTATCTCTGGTTCTCAAAGCAGACTTCACTTCAGAGTCTTTTGCATGGTTGCTTCTTTCTCATCCTTCAGGACTCAGCTCAGGGGCCTTTCCTGACTGGATTAAGTGAGCTGCTTCCCTCATTTCTCCCACTGTTACTGCGTTTATCACAGCATTGATTCTTTTATTGCACTCACCACAAACACTAATTATTTTGCTGGCTTATTTACATCCTATCTTCCTGCCACTGGAATACCAGCTCTATAAGGGCTAACCCAAGTCTCTGATTCTCCTCTCTTCCCAGAGCCTTGCTCAATTTAGTATCTATAGTAGATGCTCACTGTAAATTTTTATGAATTGAATGTTGAAAGGACCCTGCAATTAACATCTCAAGGCAGCTTGGTTGTGTTTCCAGACAGTTTGGATACTCTGTAGTTATTTATTGTACTTTTTTTTTTAAATGAGTTTACAATTTGGTCCATTGCTGTAGTTAGAGGGACTTTGCCTGAAAAGGTAAATCTGAAAAGGTTAATCTAAAGGTTAAGGAAAAATGTGTTAAGCATATTATTTGAAAATTTATCTAATAATACACTGTTTTAAAGTAAGTTTATTTTGTTTCCTGATTTTTGGACATCCTTTAGTTCAACTCTTTTAATAACCGTGTCAGTGAAGGTGCCATTATACCCATTTTATAAATAAAACTGAGAAGTGATGCTATAGGATTATTTCATGCATTTGGGGAGTCATAAAGCTTTCAGAGCTTCTCTCAGGATCTTGTATGGGACTTTTTGCTCCTTTGCCTCAGTTCCACACACATTCAGAACCCTATTGGGACTGGCCAGTGGATCTGGGACGAGATACCTATGTAGCTTCTTTTTCTTTTCCCCAGCTCTTTATTTAACAAATATATATATTCTGTTATATAACGGAAAAGTTGAAAAATGAACATCCATATGCACCTTACCTTGATTCACCACCTAGCTAATATTTTGCCACGTTTGGTTTATCCATTGATCCATCTTTATATATATATATATATATATATTTTTTTTTTTTTTTGGCCAGACCAATTGAGAAGTTGTGTCATCATGATCCTCATGCATAATTACATCAGTGTGTATCTCTTAATAGGGGTATTCTCCTACATACCACTATTTATTACCACACTCAAGAAATTCATCATCAATAGAATTATTATCTAATAATGTGCCAATAAATATCCTTTGTAGGTGGTTGGTTTTGTTTTGAGCAAGAATCCAGTCAAATATTCACCTTTACAATTGACTTTTATCCTTTGGTCTCCTTTAATCTAGAATAGCCCCAGCCTTGTCTTTCATGACACCTATGTTTTTGAAGAGTGCAGGCCAGTTACTTTGTAGAATGTCCTATAATTTGGATTGTCTGTTTCATGATCAGATTCATGTTAAATAACGTTGGCAAGAACACTATACACCTGATGTGCCCTGCTTCCCAGTGCATGACTATTAATAGATAATAATGTCAATTTGGTCTAATTATTGATGGTTAAGTTTGATCATTTCTCCAAACTTAAGATTTCTCCACTGCCAAGTTACCTTTTCCCTTTGTTATTAATAAGTAATCCAGAAAGGAAAACTTTGAGACCATAAATATCCTATTCAGCCTTTCACTCAATGGTTTTAGCATCTACTGATGGTTCTTACCTAAATTATCTTAGTAGGTTGCAAAATGTGACTTTCTAGTTACACATTTCTTCTACGTTTATTAACTGGCCACCTTCTGGAAAAGAACCTTTCCATTCTCCCATGTGTTCCCACCTCTCACCCCTTAGAACTGTTTGTTATAATCCATTCTTATTTTTAATCATCAAGTGGTCCAAAATGTGACCAACAGGTGCCCTTCAAGCTGGTTCATGTCCTTTTGACATGTTTCCATCAGTTTTTAGGCATTCTCTTATCTTGTACAAGCTAATCAAGGTTCACCTTGTAATGTCCTAGCCTCCGTCCTAGAATCCTTTGCTCCAAAAAATTGTTTCCTTTTAGTGGGGAGTAGGGAATAGTATTTAGAAAACAAAATTAAGTGCTGTGTGTGCGGATTGTTACTAGGTTGTCTCTACTTCCAGGCTGTTTCAGACAGTAGAGGTGGGAAACTACATTTAAAAATAAATAAATAAATACAAGTTGTTTTAAAAAAAGTAGTTCATACTGATTCCTCAATTTCCACTCTAATACTACAGGGTTCCTCCTCTCCTCCATTCCACACCCGAATCTCTCTGCTCTCATAGTGAGAATCCTCATTCCTTAAAACATGAATATGTTTGTTTGTTCTTCTGGTCTGTCACACAAGACATACAAAATAGTTTCACAATTACAGCAATAAACCGATACCACAAAAAATTAACTAAGTGTAAGTTCAATATTCCATTGTATTTCTTTTTATAATTAGGATAAATCCCCCTCAAGATATTCAAAATTCACTTTAATTTTTTTCTCAATGGTTGTACTAATTTAAAACATAGTTTCATGTTTAATACAGGTTTATTCTTTGAAACATTAAAGGTGAAAACACCAAAACAGATTACAATTTTATTTTTTTAATATATAAAACTTCTCGGGGACCGGAGAACAAGAACCAAGCACCTTTTGGAAATGCAGTTACCATAAGCACTCACATGGCCTTGGACTAGCATTCCAATGGCTAGTCAACAAGTCTTTGCCAGGACCCTACCTACTAAAAATAGATTTCATCTTCTTAAAGGAATAGAAAGCAGTTCAGATCAATCCAACTGATTTTTCCCTCTTGCAGAGCACTTAAGGAGTTCAGTGATCGATCGCAAAGACTTAATCATCAAAAGGATTAAGCCCAAGCCCCAGCAAGGAGATGACATCACAGTGGTGGATGTGGAGAAACAAATCGGGGCTTTCCGCAGCCGCCTGATCCAGATGCTGGGGGAGCCCCTCGTCCCACAGCTTCAAGACAAAGTGCACTTGCTGAAACTCCTGCTTTTCTATGCTGCAGACTTGAACCCTGATGAGGAGCCCCCTTCAAAGAACTGGAGCAGCACCTGAGGTCCTTTTGAGCATTCAACACCAAGAATACCTCCTGAACACTCTCTGCTTGGAAGTTCTAAAGGTGTAACAGAGTAGTTAAAAATCTTACAGGACCAAGCCTATCTTATTTATCTGTAGATTATAATAACTTTCTTTTAAAAATACCTTCTTTTGATAACCCTACCCTACCCTGTTCTCAGATATGGCTAAATATACAAGGTGTATATATTTCTTTTTTAATAAATTATATATACTTTGTTTTCAAACAGGTACTATATGCACTATGTGTTAAACATTTCAAGATGGGAAAAATAATCCCTCTGCTGAACAAATTCTAGATATCAATGCTATTTCATTCAGAGTCCTGATAACCTGTCTCAAGAGAGGAGGACATATTATTATTCATCTTTCCCTGATGGCACACACCTTATCTTACAGAGCTGTTACACTGTCTATGCATTTGACTTTGTGGTCAGTCTGTTAAGATCTAATGTAATGAAGGGGGGGAAGAAACAAAAGGACAGAGTTTGTTACAAATAATTTGATGTGAAAAGGATATAATAAAAAGTCAATGGTTTTTCAAAATACCATGTTTACCATGCTTAGGTCCCCTGACTGTTTAAGTAGGCAGAATGTTAACAACTCTTCTTAACTGGACAAAAAACCCAGCTACCCACAGTTGAGAAAGTAGTGAGGATTTTTTTATTGTCAAAACAAGTAACAGAAGACACAAATAAATTAATTGTTCTAATAATTCTAGACTCCAGGGTCTCTCTATGCAAAGGTCAGCTCCTTATGTAGACAATATCCAATCCAAAACAGCAGGTATTTGAGACAGTGCTCAAGACAATCACTGAACATGTACACAGAGGGCAGCAATAAAAGCCACTTTCCCTATTTCGTTTCCTCAGTAATTTATGTATGTGTGTAAAGGTATAAGGCTCACTTTAGGGGAAAATGCCAATTGCCTCCACACCCCCAGGAAAAAAAGGTTTTGAGCCCTTGGCTGAATGGGGAAATAAAACAAAGTGACAGTAGTTTCACATGAACTTCAAGGCTAGCTGCAGTTACATCTTCTGCACTTTTGAAAAAAATTAATATCCATAAAACAAATATAGCATATTTTCTCCCTTATGAAATTTTCAACTAAATTGGAATTAATCTTACTTTAAAGTGCAATAAAGGATTTGCAAGACTAGTGTTTGCTCTGTGTGATGCACAAAAGAGGTGCATCACTCCAAGAGCAATGGCCCAAGAGGGACTACATTAAGAACTGGCTGCAGATCTTACCAAGAAGGCAAAGAGTGGCCAGTTTCAGCACAGATCTGGCATTTAACTGTACCCAGATCTTAGTCCTGCCAACAGCCAAGCCAGAGCACAGTACCAACCCAGTGTCCAGAGGTCAGAAGGGCCAAAGTTGTTTAAACTAGCTAGTGAACACCTCTACTCCATGATTTGTTGATCCTCACACTGATAGTGGTAAAGGAATCAAGAAGCCTGGGTTTTGGAACAGCACAAAAATTATTTACCTAGGAAACCAAGATCAAAGCTCTTGTCTAAGGGGAATGATACAAAAATAGGTCATGAGGTCTCCCATACATCACTGCTAAGATTAGTCTAACTTTAAATTAAAGCAGTACAAAATGGCTTCTTCCACATAGTAAGGACAAGCTTCGCACTAATGTTTCTCAAAAGCCAACTGTCTCCAGCTCTAGCCTTGGTCTAATAGATTTTTTAAAAATACACTTTTCCTATGTCAGGCCAAGGAAAAAGGGGTCTGGGGGAGAAAACACCCTTTGATCCAGAGTCCCTAGAACAGAAAGAGTTCTAGAACCCAGTGGGCGTAAGCACATTCAAGTCACGGGGTTTGAGGTTATGGGCCCGGGGTGCTTGTTTCTTCCCTTCTATCACTGGGATGTCCATCTTGGGTGGCTTGAAGGCCGCTGGATCCTCAGCCATACGAGTGGCCTGCACACGGATCAGTTCCATTGGAGAGGGTTTCTGGGCTCCTCTGTAAGCCTGGGTGGCAAAACCTCCTACAAAAATAAACCAGAAAGCATATTTCAAAATAGGCAAAGAACCAAACTCACTGCCGTGGAGTTGGTTCCAACTCATAGCAACCCCTTCTTAGTTTTCCAATGTGGTATCGCTACAGAAGTAGATTGCCCAGTCTTCTAAGGAGTGGCTGGTGGGTTTGAACCGCCAGCCTTCTAGTTAGCAGTCAAATGCCTTAAGGACTATGCCACCTGAGCTGCCATTCAAAATTGGCAGGCAGGTCCCAATATACAACATGGTGAGATGCCTGCCGCATTGCTTTCTCTTTACCAGAATCAGACTTCTGGAGGGATCTCGGTCCAAAGAGGCTCCATATATCAGATGGGTTTCTGTCCTTATCCCCACTTCCAGAATCCATGGTGCTAGAATCTGGGCCAGGTAAGGCTGCAGAAGAACCAGAAGTGAACCAGCCTCTGGAAGAGAGAAAGAACAAAACATACCCAAATGTATCCTCTTCCTAACCCTCCAAAATGTCTAACACTGAAAGAATAGGAACTGTCTACTGTCCCTTGTCACTCTCAAACCACAGGCTCAGAACCCAGTTTCATGTGCAGCACTAAAGCACCCTGATGCTCACCTGGATTTCTGCTTAGGGGAAGAGTGAGGGGTGCTGCTTGGGGTGGATGGGGCTGATGCAGGCTGCTTCTCTTCCTTTGTGATCTCTCCACTCTGCAGCTTTAGTTTCTGTTCAGATGGGCAAGGAGAGAGAGTTTTTTAAATGTTAGAGCAAGTCAAAAACAGCTAAGCTTGGGCATAAACCATTTGGTTCATGTTTTTAACTTCAGGCAAAGAGAAAAACATTCATAAGTAGAATTGTTTTAGATTATAGAGAAGATAATTCCTTAGCTTTTGCCATTCTAGGTAGAATTCCATCTTTTCAACATGTATTCATTCTACAGCCTATCTCAAACATCTTTGTATTTAAATATACTAGAGCTTGTACTTTCAGAGAGTACAAATTTTCTAACATTCACCCAGCCAGTATGCAGAAGAGCCAAAACACAAGCATCCTAGGACTTTTAAGCAGGGCCTTGACCTCTGCTCTCAGTCTCTCCTACCATGTACAATCCCAGCCATTCCCACAGTTTCTCAGAGCCAAGACTTAAGCATGCTCTTCCTCTCTAATTAAATGCTTCCTCCATGGAGCCTGCCCCATTCTCTCCCACTTACAGTCACTGGGTTTGCCCAGCATTGTGAACATACCTCTAACCAACCAGCAGTGTAGGAGGGAAGAGACAAATCTACTCGGTTACAGATCAAGGATCCTACGTTGTCTCTATCCTTAATTTTCTCTCTAGCATGTCACTGCTTTACCCAAAATACAGTCCAAAGGATCATGCCTGAATTTTCTCAAACACCCAACATGTAATTTATTTGACAATTTGTTACAGGTTAGTTACTCACAACAAGCATTTCAGCCATCCTCATGCCCTACTCCTGTGGCCAAGGCTCAGAAAGTGGGCCAACCAATCAATTTGGCCATTAAATAGGATGAATTGCTCTATTGGAATCCTACTAATAACTATCCTGGAAAGTTCCCAGTGAAGTATCAAAGACTGGCAGTGCCCCTCTCTGGAAAAATCAGTTTTGTCTGAGAGCTAGCCTAGCCCTGATCCCCTGCAGCAATGGTTTTTAAATTCATTAGCCAAAAGAATGATCTGGAATGCTCACTACAAAATATAAGCAGTCCAGTGTCCTCTATCCCTAACCCAGGTCACCAGATCTACATTACTTCTCCTTCCGTGTTTTATTTCATGATCCTTTCCTGCCATATGTGCTCTTCTCCCATGCCCAGCAGGCCCTCCCCATCCCCTAGTCAGAACTCAAACCTGATTTTGACCCATCCTGGCTTACAGAAAGCAAACCAAGCTTCCTGGTATTGTCTATGACCCTTCACCATCTTCCTCTGCCCTCTATTATAAACCCCTTCAGAAGCCAGATTCTCTGTCAACTTTGGAATAAGAAGGAAAAAACAAACAGGAAGTAGAGCACAGGGGATTTATTGAGTCCAGGTATTATAAATGGCTACATATCTGGTCTTGGGCCTCACTTCATTTATAAAATAAGGCAAATAGTATCTGCCTCAAAGAACTAATGCAAAGATTATGTGAATGCAAGTACTTCATAAATCATGAAGTACTCTTCAGTAGGCGGTGGGGTTTCCTGGATGTCGTTTGAAACTATTTTAGCAATTCAAATATTTGGTTATCATTAACCTGAATGTCTTCAATCCATTTTAGAAATTATAGACCAAAAACGTTATAATTCCACATTGGATTTTGATTTTTTTTTTTTTTAATTAAATATAAAACATGTTGTTCCTTTCCAGCTAAACTGTTATGTCTGTTAAAGTTCCCTGATCCTTGTCTCTCTCTCTCAGAGTTGATGCCTGTTACACAAACCAGCCATATTTACTTGATGGTCCATATATATATATGTGACCTCAAAATCTCATTTGATCCTCCTAACCAGAAATAATGGAGCTCTGGTGGTGCAGTGCCTAAGGCATTTGACTGCTAACCAGAAGGCTGGCGGTTCAAACCCACCAGCCACTCCTTGGAAGGAAGACTGGGCAATCTACTTCTGTAGAGATACCACCTCAGAAACCCAAGGAGGTGTCACTATGAGTCAAACCAGAAATAAGCTAAACAGATAGCCCCACTTATAGATGAAGAACGAGAACTAGGAGGCAAGAGCTCCAGACCCTTCAGCCAGGAAGTACCCCACAGGTGGCCTAAACCTGTTCTCAATACCCACAGCCCCTAACTGGCTGAGCTGGTAACTTCTAAACCACAGTCACATCTCAAGCCATGATTGATGAAGGGTTTGTTTTGTTTTTGTTTTATTAAGTTCTTTAGAAACAAGCTTACGTGAAGTGCTTCTGCCACTCGAAGGTACTTGGTCTCCTCGGTAGTGAGGCCCTTGTGGGGTGTGTAGCCAACATCTCTCAGCCCTGCCTGTTGCTCAAACCGCTGAATGCTCTCCTGGGTCTGTTCTGGGAACAGAGCAGATGACAGTCATGCCCATTCCCTTCTCCAATCACAAACTGGAAGACAACACAGATACCCAGTATTTTCCCTGGAAGCAAGAAATGATGACTATACATTAAGAAGGTGGGTTCCTGAGACAGTCATCTTAGCAATAACTCTGAATCTCACACAGAGGTAGTTACTACAAGGAAGCCTTCATAACAAGCTGAAGAACAGGTTACTCCTAAAGGACAGCTGAATAACCTTCAGCTGAATACCCCTTACCTTCCTCTTATTTAGCCATGGTGACATTGTCTCTATATTTACACATGCAACATGGAGAAGGCAGTTGACACTCCAAAACACTGAACATTCTCCAAATATAAAGTTTCCTGAGAGATTAACCACCCCTGTCACCCAAACAAAAACCTTTGCCAAAGAGAAACAGGCCATATTTAGGCTAGATGCCACCAAGATACCAATCAGATTCAAACCACAGAGAACCTCCCTTGAACTAGTCACAGTCAACTTACATTTCCGTTTCTCAGGTGTGAAACTGCCTCTCACAATGCCCAGCATGGCAGACAGACTCAGACTCAACTTTAGTCTGACCTAATTTCTCATCATCAATGAGTCAGTTATACCAAGGAATGAATGATGACTGAAGTTTTGCTTATTCTGTACCTACATACATACTACATTCCTAGATACAGGAAGTAACAGCTGAAGAGCAACTGGGTGTCTTTTACGAATTAGTCATTCCTCATCCAAAGAAGTATTTCCATCAGAAACAGAGCTAAGAAAAAAAATTCATATGCATATAGATACTCTCCATTCTTACCAGGTACTCACCTGAAAGTCTAAAAAGTGGGAAGGAATTTAATGAATTATGGTACTACACCAATACTAGGATTTTATATGCACCTATTGTTAAAAAAGTAAAGACTACAGCAGCATCAAAAAGTGTGTCACTGTATTAATTGAAAGAAATAAAATGATTTGTCTACTATACCTGCAATTATATAAAATATGCATCTGCAGACGTGAATAAGCCAAATAAGTATCTGAGTAACTGGCACATTTGCAGGACTCTGTACTGCTGGCAGATAAATTTCAATAAAGAATTTATACTGTACAAAAAGAACAATGGCTAAGCTTTTGAATACTGCTACAATACATCCTCAAGCTTGCAAGATAGTAGTAGTTGCTGACTCAAATGGTACATTTAGTTGTGAACAAAAGAAATCAGGGTTTGGACTTTTGGTTCTTGGATGAATTCTCAAGAACTGTCTGAGACAAACCAATGCTGTCTCAGAGAAAATAAACAAGGGCTTCTGACTTCACAAATGAGCCTATCAGGAAGAGCCTCCATGTACCTTACCCTTGGCAAAGGCCTGGCTGCTGAGAAGGAGAATTATGAATCTACTAATTGTTAACCTCCCACAGCAACCAGGCAGGACCTCCAGGACCAAGTTCAGTTAACGTGTTATAGGTTTTTGTTTAAATAATAATAATAATAATAAGCTGTACGTGTCACTTCTCATTAGGACCACAAATCACACATTCTTAAGACTAAAGGTGCTTAAGGTAACAAACTTGATCCTCTTCCTAGAAAACCAATTTTGAGCTGCATAAACTGATAGATAGATAGATAACAGACAGGTGGGAGGTACTTGCTTCAGTGTGTCACCTTCTCCACCAGAGCTCCAGTCATAGCAACAGCTCCTAGCTACTGACATGGGCCAGACTCTTGACATATAAATTCTCATTCAACCTTCACCTCAATCTGCCAATCCCATACTGTTATGGGTGACAGCAGTTAAGTAACTTGCTCAAGGCCACACTGACAGATAAGATAGTATCAACAAAAGCAACAGGAACAGACCAAAGTCACCTCAGATGCTTAATGTTTGGCAAATCTTCCACCTAAATTAAGCCTCAACACTGAGGTGACTCAGTAGCCAAAATGACACAAGATTCATTCACTAAATCCTAATTTAAGGGCACAGTTAAGACTGAGTGCTATGTGGCATGGTTGCAGAATCAACCACAGCTGACTTTAGGAGCCTGAACTGTTCCCTGCCCCAATTTCACTCTATTCAGAGGGTGAAGAGTGCTTACTTGTGATCAGAGAATTCATGATGATATGGGTGGCTTTAGCCTTCACCACTGGGACCTTGTCCATACTGTCAGTGGCCGATGACAGGGTCATGGCAGGGGAGGATACACTGGACTCTCCTTCCTCCACCTGTTCAAGAAAGGTCAAGGAGGCACTTGAGCAGGGAAGGGAGTTACATACCTAAACGTACTCTCTTGGAGAGGAAGCTACAGAATTATTTTTAATCTGGTAAGTGAGGAAATACTCAGAGGGGTTCCTGCCCATCTACTTACATAGGTATCTTTATTAAAGCAGACTGCTACGTCTTTCTCTCATGGAGCGGCTGGTGGGTTCAAACCACCCACCTTTCAGTTAGCAGCCAAGTGCTTCTCAAATTCTGACAAGCATCAGAATCACATGGAGGGCTTGTTAACACACTCTACTAGGCCCCACCCCAGAATTTCTGATTCAGTGTGACTGAGGTGGAGCTGAAAAATTTGTATTTCTAATAAATTCCTAGGTGATGCTGATGCTGTTTGTTGGTCCCAACCATACATGGAGGACCATTGCTCTAAAGATTCAAGTAATGGTGTTTTTAAACAAACCAAAATTCATTTAGCTCCTAATCTTTAACCTGAGAGCTAGCACCAGCCACCTGACACCACAGTCAGGGCTGGCAGGAAGAAGAGAACTGCGTTTATTTTCTGTTCTTTGTTTCTCCAAAGGTACTGAGAAGAAAGTAAGATGGTCAGAAAGTAGAGGAGCAGAGAAAGTTGTTCTGAAAGGTTATATCCCGTTACAAAACAGGATTTACACTATTCAAGCTGTGACCTTGCTCAATAAAATGAACTTGAACCTGTTTCCTCATTTGGAAGATGGCTGGTTTCTAACACATTGGCAGTTATGGCAAATAAAAGAATGTATGTAATGCGTCAAGTTGAGCTTTCCATGGAGAGCAATTGTTCCAAATTGTCAGCTGTTCCAACTGGGACACGGCAGAAAACCAGACGGGTGTTCTCTGCCTTGTGAGGTAATCAGTAGTCTTTATAAACTAAAGATAGTGTACTGTCCTTAGAGTAGGGCTTCCAACCCGTTCATTTGGTTCGACCCTCTACAGTGCATTTGCATTTCTACCCTAGTTACACTAAATCCAGGTCTACATTTTAAAATGATCCCTTGGCTCTGGGTTACGTCAGGAGCCTTGCTTATGTATCGCTCTTGTCCCTTGAATTCCCTGCTTTGGCACGACAGCAGGTTGCTGGGTCCTTTTCCCCTACTACTTCTGCACAGAATGTTTTCTCTTCAACAACTGATAAGCAGGTTGGATTTCAGCAGATACTTAATATAGAGAATTTCCCCCAGAGCTACAGGGATACTTCCTTAGAAAGGTGCTCCTTGTTCTGAGAGCTAAATGGAAAAGGGTCACTTACTAGAAAGAAAGATTCCAGGGCAGTTCTATTAAGTGAAAGTTAAGATGGAAGCCAAGAGTCATAATATGGGCTGCACACCTAATATGTGCCAAGCCTTTAAATCTTACATAATCCCCACACATTTCTATGAGGTAAATTATTTTCATCTCCCAAATGGGGACACACTGCCACTCAGGGTGAAGTTGTGTGCCCAAGGTCACAGCTGTTACACAGACCATTTGGAATTCAAATCCAGGTCTGTTTCAGCAAATGCTTACTATGTACTTCCTGTCAGGCCCTGACTTACTACAGCTTAGAGTTCAGTGAAATTATAACTGCAGGTTAAATGGCCTTATCTGAACTTGGCAACAGTATAACCTTTCTTGTATTCTTGGTGGTTGGAGAATTAGAGGTGACAGAGTGAGCCTCTGCAGTTAGAAAGCTTGGCTTCAAGGTCAGGACTGCAACAAGTATGCAAATGTCTACAAACTCAAACAGCACAAAAGGGCTGTGAGAGCAGGTGCAGATGCAGTAAGACAGGGGTGTGGGGGTATGTGTCAGGAAGGGCCTAGGAAGGAGGTGACCTTCACAGAGACCAAATGGGAAAAGGAGGACAGCCTCAGGAAAAGCACACATATTCAGTAAATAACAATTTTTACCCCAATCATTCAAGGAACATTTTTTTTTTAAATCTACTTTATGCCAGGCCCTTTGCCAGATGCTGCAGATAGAAAATAAAATTAGATATAGTTTTAATAAGCCCTTAAGAAGCTCACAGAGGGCAATAAAAGTATGGGTATGGCAGTGGTCCATGGTTACAGGGGAGAGCACAAAGGGAGAAGTGGTGGTCTTATGGAGAGGATGGAGGCACTGTGAGGAAAGTCTCAGAAGAGCTGCCTGAGCTAAGACTTAAAGGACATCATTTGTCAGGCAGATGGAGTGAAGTGGGTTGAACAGAAGTGGAGAGAACAGGATGGGGATGGTAAACATTCCAGGCAATAGGAGAAATGTGAAGCAAAGACTTAAAGGCAGAAAATACTGTGATGAGTACAAGAAATCTCAGGTACTTTGCATGGTTGGATCAGGTGGTAGGGACTGGGGAGAGGCCAAAAGGGTCCGAATCATGCAGAATTTAAAAGCCAGAATAAGGAGCTCAGATTTAATGCTGTGAAGAGTGGGAAGCTATGGAGAAGTGTCTCAGGCCACTTCCAATTCTGAATTAAAATGAGAAACAGACACACCAACTTTACCTGAGGCACAAAAAATAAACACAGGGATTGGTTGTTGCCCAATTCTCTGAGCACTGGGAGCTACTGAAAACCTTGGAGCAGAGGAAAGAGGAAGGGGTTGGGTTTGCCAGAGGCAATCAGAGGGGTCAGGTACCTTGGCGAGGTGCTGATACTTGCGCTCTGGAATCACTGGCTTCCAGGGGATGCTGCCCATGTCTGATGGAGGAGGAGTCATGGGCGCAGGGTCCTCAAGGGCATCGTCATAGCTGAATGCCCGGCGGTACATCCCAATGGGCAGGGACATCTTGCCTAGAGGCCCACTAGGCTCAAGAGCTAAGAACAGAGAGACCTGTCAGGATGGGTTCAACAGCCTCAAATTAATCTGCAAGGAGGAAAACTGTGACACACTCTTGTTCTGAGACAGATAATCTCAGACTCTTGTTCTGAATAGCTAATCCATTCAAGGAAATGTACTAAAACTAATCCCTGCCTGTGTCTGCCACTTTGCATTCTCCCCTTAACCCAACAGCTGCCCAATCTATTTTTATGGATTAAGAAACTGTTCGATTTAAAAGTTTAAGTAAAATTTAAATTTACCTAAGCAAGGTCACACAATGTCAAAGTGCAGTCTGGAGTCCAAACCCAAACCTATGTGATTTCAAAGCTTGTGTTCTTTATGCCACAGAAGCTGCCCCTCATTATAACGCCAAAGCTCTCAATTCATGCAAGACTGAGGATATAAAGTGATCTCCTAATGATTCACTGGGCTAAAAGGCAAGTGACATTCTTGTTCCCACTTTATAGATAAGGAAACTGAAACCCAGAAGTGAAGTGATATGTCCAAGTTCACACAGAAAATAGGTATCTGACAAGCATCTGACTGCAAATCCTCTGCCCTTCCTATCTCACCAAAGAATAAAGAGTGCTCTAATAAGAAATACTTAAAACAACACGTTGTCCAGAGTCACCTATAGTTTCAAGTGTTCAGTATGATTTAAACAGCCGTGTCAATTTCCATCAGAGATAACCACTCTCACAAAACATGGGCAAGCTGATCCCGCAGCTCCCACCTACTGGAAGTGACTAGTGGAATGTCCTACTGTGACACGGGCACCTGATTTCAAGGGCACTCAGGCTATGCTAGACCAAGGAGCAGAGTTCTTTTGTTTGCTTTGCTAATCCTTTCCTATCAGAACAATATCCAAATTCTGCCTTCAGGGTGACATTTTCGTATTGCTAAAATTCTATAATCACACTCTCCAAGACACCAGTCTCTCTGGCAGTAAGTCCAAACCCACCAAAGACACTTCATTTATCTGCCTGCTGGTTAAAACAGCAAGGGAACCAAGGAGCCACCATTAGTATCTGTAAAAATAATAATAGAGACAGAAAGGTGCCGTGGGCTAGTAAGTGAAAGCTAATGGGCATTAGGTTTCTTTTGGGTAAAAATGTCCTCAGACAGTGGTGATGGCTGCACAACCTTGTGAATATACTAAAACCACTGAATTGTGCCTGAAAGGGTGAATTTTATAGCATGTCAATTACATCTTAACTAGAACAAACACACAAAGAATAATTACTAAGTATCCCTCTTTGCCAAGCCCTTTAGTCCCTCATCTTGTCTAACCTTCATTAAGCACCAACCAACCAACCAAACACACACTGCGTCGAGTCTGATCTGACTCATGGCGAGCCTGCCTTGGGTTTCCGAGGTGGTATTGCTACAGAGGGAGCCCAGGTAGCATAGTGCCTAAGGCACTTGACTGCTAAGCAGAAAGCTGGTGGTTCAAATCCACCAGCCACTCCATGGTGATGTTATTGTTGTTATTGTTATGTCCCAAGTCGGACCCGCCTCATAGCGACCCCTCCTTGGGTTTCCAAGGCAGTATCACTACAGAAGTAGACTGCCCCACCTTCCTTCCATGAGTGACTGGTGGGTTTGAATCGCCAGCCTTCTGGTTAGCATTTTAGCAGTCAAATGCCTTAGGCACTATGCCACCAGAGCTCTCTCATTAAGCAGAGTTTCCTTCCATGTGCCATCTCAGGGAACCGAGGCACAAATTTGAAGTAAGCAACTCACTCAATATTACCCAACTAACAAATTTGGGGCAGCGGCTGGAAGACAAATCTAATGCTAGTGCTCACACCCTACAGGCAACATTCCATGTTAACCACACGACAAAGCATTCAGCTTAGGTGAGTGCAACCCTAGGATGGTTACAGGGACTTTATGATAATCACAACAATGAAAGACAAACTAAAATGCAAGCTGATGACATTAGAAATGGATCCGTATTAGTGGATGCAGAGAGACTTCTATTAAGTTAGCTCTCAATTCATCCACTAATTTGGTAGCAATGTTCAAAAACATCTTCAAGACCTGCCCCAAGAGCCATCCCAATAACCCATTGCTGTTGAGCCAATCCCAACTCATAGCAACCATATATGGCAGAGCAGAACTGCCCATAGGGTTTCCCAATGCTGTAATCTTTATGGAAGCAGATTGCCTCGTCTTTCTCCTGCAGAGCAGCTGGAACCACCAAGCTTTTGGTTAGCAATTCAGCACTTAACCACTATGCCACCAGGGCTTCTTCCATTCCAACAGTCTTCCTAACAATAACTAATAATAATAAAGTCAACTAATATTGATTAGAAAATAAATCCCAACAGTAGAGACCAAACATTTCTGGGTAGTAAATAATATTTATCACTAAATTTTAACTCAAATTTTCACCTATTTTATGTCCAATCTTCACAGCAACCCTGAGGCACAGATACTATCATCTCTACTAAGAATCAGAAATTGAGTGATTTAATTAAAAATCATCTGCCCTTCCCATGAAAACAGTCCAAGGAATGACCAACACCTTCATTAGCATAGAAATGACTGGCCTATACAGACCCAGACTCCTTAAATGTTGCTATAAGCATTTTCACAACTAAGTTCAACATGCCAGTAAACCAGGTGGTGCCTTTTTGCCCAGCCATCATCCATCACCGTGACCCACCCCCAACAAAAAAGATGCTGAGTTTAATCATTTTGACACAAGCTACAATGCAAGGACTACATTTTGTATTTCATTCTGATTTCCTATTTGATACCTGTGGGAAAGTGATAAGTATGTTATACCCTTAAAGGAAATGACTGTTTCAAGTTAGGTTTTGGGTTCATACCCTGGCTGGATAGTTACTAAGGTAATATTTAAATGACCTGTGAAGTGTAAATATTCTCCTAGTGGAAGAGAGTAACCATTAATATATGGTTCAGACAAAGTGGTTTCTGTCTAGCTTAAAATGTTAAGGGCAAAACATAATTTTACCAAAAAGAACTAAGTTTACCAGGTACTTCTGATTGTCTCGAAGCCATTGAAAAGACTGGGATCCAGATGCTTTTTCTAAACAGAATTCCAGAGCTGTGTGTCCCTGCCACCTAATAAAAATAACAAAGGGAATTTTCTTACAGTGAACACCAAAGAATAGCTCCAATGCTGTTCTTGTGACAGGCACACCATTTTATGGCTTGTTTACAAAGCTGAAACACACATAAGAACCAATGAGTGACAAACATGCCCAGAGGAAGGGGAAAAAAAAGGGATAAAGTCAAAGGTCTCACCACATCTTTAGCTGATGAGATGACAAAGCCAAGGCACTATACATGGTGAAAGTCACCTTACCACAGTGAAATGATGTGACGATTATGCTGACAGACAGATATTAATGAGGAACATGGTCCAGCTGCTGCAAGTTAGCAAAACTTCCCAGGAAGAGTCCATCCAGAGGTTCTAATAACAACAAACAACCAGTATTTACAGCCTTTCAGAATTTGCCAAACCCTTTCCCATACATTTATTCATTCTGCTATAACAACCTCACAGAAGAGATATAATACCCATTTCAACTTAAAATAAAGCCTCAGGGTCCAAAAAACTTGAGTCACAGCAAAAGGCTGGGTACCAGAGTAGGTAAATTCATTCTATACTGCTAACACAGGCCAGTATTTATAGGGTTTTACGTAAAAATTATCTTGAGTTTTAACCCTACAAAACAGGCATTATTTACCCCCAATTTTAAAAAAGGGAACAAAAAATCAGAGCAGGTAAGGGTAACAGATATAAGAGCCCCTTGTACAAGGAAGATAGTTTCATCACCATTTTACAGAAGAGTTAAAACAAGGTCTGCAGAGAGCCAATTTCTTTGCTTTTCAACTTACTACATTGTCCCTCTACCTTGATTAAGACTCGAGGGACAAACCAATTCGTTCTTCACTACAGAGCATCACAAAAACCAACGTTCAGACTTTCTCCTGATCCAGGACGCATTCTCCACCCAGACACCCCACCACCCCTTGCCGGCGTCCAAAGCTCGCCCCTCAGGCCTCTCCACAAGATAGAAAACAATGTCACCAGGATCTGAAAAGCCAGATCTGATCCAACCCGTGCCCATCCCGGGAAGCTAAGAAAGAGTAAGATTAGACGCAGAATCGGCACAGGCCAGAGTCTCTCCGAGGGTAAAGGAGGACGATGAGTGGGGGTGGAGGCCCTGAGCTGGGTCTGTCCCATGAAGTGGAGGGCAAGCTCTGGGACTCCAGCAGCATCAGCTGAAAAGAACAACACTGGGGAGGTTACAGCCAAGGAGACCAAAGGGGTAAAGGGTGGTCCAACAGAGCTCTGGGCCAGGGCAAGGGGTGAGAGGAGAGGTAATGGAAGGGCCCCGAGCGTTGGCTGAAGGACCAGCCACGCGCCCCGAGAATGGGCGGAGGACGAAGCCAAGGGAGGCCCCCAACCCTGCTAGTCACCTGTTCCTTCGTCGCGCCGCCGCGGGGCTCCCTGCGGCCAGAGCTCCGGCACTAAAGAGGCTCGGAGGACCCACGTCTCCCAAGACGCTGCAGCGCAGTGCGGATCCAAGCCATGACGCGGACAGCGCTGAGTCGGCGGCGACAACAACAACAACCGCCTAAGACACCGACCAGCAAGAAGAGGTGACCGGATCGCGGATGGCGGCCTTCGCGATAAAGCTTCCGGAGATTCGGCACTTCACGCGAGGCCTGGCTCGGGAGGCTCTCGGGGCATGCTGGGAGTTGTAGTTCACGGTTGGGAGGTCACATTAGCTACCAGGCGGGTTTGGAGAAGGGGAACGAGATCACGGCTCTGAGAGTGGAGGTCATCTGCACTGAGAGGAAAAGCCAACTTTTTTTTTTT